TTTGAACAAGATTGTAAGTAGCCTCTCCTCGCCGAGAGGGACGTGACTGACACTATACCCCCTGTTTTGTAGCAAGCGTTCCGACGTTATCCCGCCCTCAAGGACCGGTTCAATAGCGTTGTCGTCACGTTCTTCAAGAACGCTATGACGCCGACAACCAAGCTGGTCACCGATATGGTCAGCATGCAAGCCTGCTATATCAACACCACACACCCCGACTTCATCAACGGACACAAAGCTATGTCCATAGTTCAAGACCGCCTGGCACTGAACAAACCCGCGACACCTACACCCGATCCCAAGTCTGGCAAGCTCGCCCCCGGTGCGATCAACAACAATAGGGATTTGGATGTTGAGGCGAAGAAGGAGGAGCCTAGTTTCTTTGGGAGTTTCTTTGCGGGATCGAAAGCAACGCAGAAGAAGAAGTCCCCTAATGCACCGGTGATTGAGGCTCCTCCTCCGGTTATCAAACCTCAGGCGGCTTTGAACGAGAGGGAAACGATGGAGACGGAAGTTATCAGTGCGTCCTATTCAGTCGTCTTTGAGAACTTTCATCCGTTCTGACTTGATATGATCTGGTACAGAGCTTCTTATCCACTCGTACTTCAACATCGTCAAACGAGAGATGATTGATATGGTGCCGAAAGCTATCACGCTCACGTTGATCAACCACGCGAAGGAGCAGTTGCAGGGAGTGCTGTTGCAAGAACTATACAAGCCTGACGTGTTGGAAGAGTTGTTGAAGGAGAGCGAATACGTCGTGAACAGGAGGAAGGAGGTCATCAGTATGGTGCAGGCCCTGAACAAGGCAGAAGAGTACGTCTCTTTGATGTTTCTCATAACCTCAATTCGCTTTGCTAACCTCGTCGTTTTTTCTTTTAGGATTGTCGCGGGTGTCTAATGGTCAACGTTCTTTTCCTTATCCCGGTCTTCTCTAGTCCACTCCTGTTACTCGTTCATCGGATATTCTAATCGCAATACACCCCTTTCGGCTTCTCCCTTCCTCCCCCGTGCTCCGTGTGGTCCATTTAGAGCTCCTCGTAATCGTGTGTTGGTTTCCGCCTCCTGTCTTTTAGTTCTCTCTCAGTACCATACCATACCCTTCCCTACTACAACACATACAGCTTAGGCAATTTGTTTAGGTAGCTTATCTCGGAGAATGGATTAGAGGGTTTCTTCAAATTCTTTTTTTGGTTCCGCGATTACCTCCTTTTGAACGTTTTTCCGAAGCCGTCCCCGCATTGAACGTTCCAGAGTTCACAGTCGCTGCTACTCCGAGCGAAAACAGTGTTAGACAGTTTAGACTACTCAGTACTGCTTCGAACTCTGCTTTCCCCGCGTTTCTTAGACAGGGTTGCCAAGCTAGACTAAGGGGGGAAGTGATAGCGCCGATGATTGTACAAACGTTCTTTCATCAGTCGACACATGCATACACATATCCCCATATCAGGGTTCATTCACTCCGTAACAGGGGGAAAGCATAGTTCATCAGCGTCAAAAGAGCAGGAGATGAATGGTGTGATTGATTATCACCTGCGGCACTCGTTGAATCTACTTGAATGAAGGCGCTCTTTCATTGTTCGACCATCAATCAAACTGAGGCTCAGTCGCAATAGTTCTCACAGGAATGAATCATATCATTCAAAGAACCTCGGAGCGCACCCGGTGTGTGCGTGTGTGTAAAACCGTGGAAAGGGAACGCTAACCCGAATATGTATGTCACAGGCAGGAGACAAAGCTGTTCTGATTAAAATGCGAATCTAAATACAGGAGTGGAGATAAGAACTATCGATAAGAGATGAACAAAGGGAACCCCACCCAGCCGCCGTGCGTAGGTCGTGATGTGATCCCGATAGTATTAGTGTTCCCTCGTAACGACTTGCTGCGCGCAGGTTCCAGGTTTCCCCTCAATCCCCGACAAACGATTCCAAGAGAACAAAGATAGACAGATTCCGAGTATGTCAGTACCCGGTTCCGAGACGGAGGGCGAGTCAAGCGGTAGCTTAGTATGTGGCAGTCCAGGGTTTTAGATCATCAAGGGACTCCACCTCGGGCGGTTGGACCTGTGCTATCGGATCATGAAAGGAGAAGCTAGGATGTGATCCAGTGAGATCGAAGCGACGGATTATACGACCAAAGGCAAGGTGTGCTGGTTGAACGTTCTTTGTTGACGATGCGAAAGCGATCGAGGTGGCGAAAGTGAGGCGGGAGCGCGGGATGGCATGTGAAACAGGAGTCGTGTGACCAATGGCTGTGCTGCTTGCCGAGGTGGCGTCACACGGGTCATCAAGAATCAGCCGATGGGCGCTACGGAAACGGTGTGACAGGAGTTATAAATGTGGCTGAAAAGCTTGAAAATGGGACTTTGCGCGGTCCTGGAGGCTGGTAACGTGCTGGAAAGCTCATGAAAGGATAGGCCAGAGAGCATCTTCAGAGAATCTGTAATAAAAAAGGGCAAAAAGAGCTCAGAGAATCAATCATCGAGGGATCAACAAAAGACTGACGTGGTCAATGCGTGGTCGTCAAGGAGGAGTCATCGGCTGACTGCAAGGGCCATTGCACTAAGAATTTTGCGTGTAAACGTTCCAGAATTTCACAGATAATTTCCTGGATGGACTTGAAAAAGTTCCTGACGATATTGAGTCCAGTGGGAGGAAGATTAGGGCAAAGGGCAACTGGGAAATGTGGAAGCGATGGGTGCGATGTGGAAGAATGGAAGGGGCAAAGTGTGACGTAACGATTGGTAACGGGCGCTGATGAAATATGAGCGGAGCCTATCGGAGTCTGAATTTTTGGGTATATAAAGACCAAATGGTTTCTGAAATCGACCCCCATTCCCACGGTCTGCAGAAAAAAAATTTCATCCGTCAATGTCGTTCGCTCTTCCCGCCCGTCAAGTTACCTTTGGTCGTTCCAATGTCTCTTTGCAACAACAACAGCAGTATCAGCAGCAGCAACAACAGCAGGCCCAGTTGCGTCAGCAACAACAACAGCAGCAGCAGCAGCAACAACAGGCTCAGCAGCAGCAGTCATCAAATGGCTTAGCTCTGCCAACATCCAACCCTTACCTGTCGCGTTCTGGAGGCGGTCTCGCGTTACCCGGCCCTTCACCACTCTCAAATTCATTCCAACCTCCCTCTAATCCGCAGCCTACCACCACTACCCAGTCGTCATCGCAGCCGGCGTCTTCATCGTCGTCACCACCTCCCGCCGCGAACGCGGTCGCAGGCCCTTCTACCCCGACGGCAGCTGCTGCTACACCCAAACCCCTCACTCTCGAACAACAACACATCACCGCTGTCGAAGGCATCGTTCCCACTCTTCAAAACATCGTCGCCACCGTCAACCTCGACTGTCGGTTAGATCTCAAAACCATTGCTTTGCACGCCCGTAATGCGGAGTACAACCCTAAGGTTGGTCAAACATTCATTGGGTTTTGATTACTGTGATGCCCAACTGCGTTTGCCTTATTAGCGTTTCGCCGCCGTCATCATGCGTATCCGTGACCCGAAGACCACCGCTCTCATTTTCGCCTCTGGCAAGATGGTGGTGACGGGTGCCAAGTCGGAGGATGACTCGAGACTGGCGTCGCGGAAGTACGCGCGTATCGTTCAGAAGCTCGGCTTCGACGCCAAGTTCTCCGAGTTCAAAATCCAAAATATCGTTGGCAGCTGTGATGTCAAGTTCCCCATTCGGTTGGAGGGTCTTGCTTACAGCCACGGACAGTTCAGTAGTTATGAGCCAGAGGTGCGTCTATCTGAGCCTTGCGTTGATATCTCGTCTCATACTGACGGTTCGCCACAGCTGTTCCCTGGTCTCATCTACCGTATGATGAAGCCGAAAGTCGTGTTACTCATCTTCGTTTCAGGAAAGATTGTACTTACTGGTGCTAAGGTAAAGTTCTGTTCTGATTACCCTTCACACCCCGCCTGGTATCATGACGCGCTCACGGCGCCCATGCTCTATCATGGCAAGTGGCACACGCCGTATAGCTCTTTGTCCTTTCGTCGACCTTGGGGCTAAAGGCTCCTGACATTGACATTGCGACGGGAGCTCGACGTGTTCCACGAAATTGGGATGCAGTGGATTTTGTCATTCGTCAACAAACATCCGCTGATACCCTTCTGCCACAACCAATAGGTCCGAGAAGAGATCTACACGGCGTTCAACCAGATATACACTGTGTTGTGTGAATTCAGGAAACCGTGATCGCCTCAGGACCTTGAGCCCTGTATGCTCTTCGTCATCGTCCTCCCAGCCTCTCCCTGCCCGACCACGCCGACCTACTTTTTTGTTCGCCCTTTTCCAACGTTATCATTATTCTTTTATGCAACCATACCTTCACACATTTTCACTACGGCTGGCACGGTTCTTGGGCTCGGATGGTTGATGCGGTGGCGATTAGACCTTGACATTGACGATGACTCCCCTTCTATAAAATAAACTTCCGGTAGTAATGGCTCTTTCCGACGACACCTCAAACGAACTCTCTGTGTATTACTTGTCTCTTCTCTCTGTGTTTGGGCTTTTCTACTTCGTTCCTCTTTTCTCTCTAGCAGCAATTACCATCATCCCCCCACCCATCCAAGCAATACAATTTTTTCTCTCTAACTCTCATCGTTCTACACATACGCAATACATACAATTAGCACGCATTAGTCTTTTTTCTCTTGTACGTACTACGGTACTTGGAGTTTTGTCGGTTTGTTCTATGGTACCTTACTTCAGATGAAGAATATAGAACGTTTTGTGAACCGAAAGACCGACTGGGATGAGATTGATTTGAACTTGTAAGATTGTCGAATACAGTGCCGTTTAGCTCTAGCAGCGTGCTGTTTATTGTTGCTCTTCTTGGCCACGCTCTGAACCCGCGCTGGTAGTTCTCTGTGCATGTGAGTAGCCTGAGATGGGTTACGGTGCTTTCATCGTGCACAAAGCAAGGAGAACTACTAGAACAGAAGCGAATGCATCTCGCGATAGGTGGTCCTGGGACTGTCGACGGGCGCATGGTGTAGGGGTTATCACGTTCGCTTTGCATAAGGGCACAACCTCTGGGTACTTTGCGAAAGGTCTCCGGTTCAATTCCGGATGTGTCCAAAATACCAGTTTTTTTCTCCCTATTATCGGCGAACTCAATCATCCAACCGGTGCGGAAGTGCAGTACATTCAATGGGATTATTAGGATATAAGTATGTAGAACAGCACTTACAATAAATGACGGTACTAAGAAGGATTTTGAATTGTATGTATTATGAATTATCCGTGAAGTAAGACTCTGGAACCCACCCAACTACATGAACACGATTGAAAACGACCCCCAAAAGTCCCCTGTGTCGACCGTAGCGAGTCGTAAATGAGCATGACCGGGCTCGACACCACTCCTTGAGCACGATACCAGGCCTTTCAACCAAGGATCACCGGTACCGTCGTCTGACTCTTTGACCGTTGGATCGCGTCCGTTCATGATCCGGTCGTGTTTGCCTCCTTTCCCTCTTCCATTCAAGAGATCGGTCAAAGAACACCGATTGCGCGGTTCAGATTGTAACATGCGCCGAAGAGCGGGCCTGGTCTCGTGTGGCAGGAGGTATAAAGCTGATTCGACATCGTCGGAGGCTTCAGAGCCTAGGGGCCTGGTGAGCCAACGTACAATCGCAGAGGTTCCGAAGCTAGACTCCTTCCTCACATCATAAGGACGTTTCGGAAGCCTGGGGGGACGTCGCAGCATGAGACATACGAACATGACCCCGACACTCCATATATCGGCTTTACGAGGGTCCTCATCGACATCAGCCCCAACAGCGCCCTTCCTTCTAGAACGATGGTAGGACGTGGTAGATGCGCCGAGGTCGATTATTTTAACCACATT